TTTCAATTTCCATACCTTTATCAATTTACAAATAGCTGGAGCATCGCCCTATGCCAAAGGCAAGTATTTGTCCTTGTATCTGACTTGCTGGACTTCATAGGTCAAACCATGTCACTAGTGAACAACTGACAGTATTTCACTCTCTGATTTTTATGGATGAATTGGATTCAAAATGACCATCTTTGAATGATATCATTCAGCAGAAGACTGAAAACCTGGTCGCAATGGACAGTCACTCTGGGTGTTCATTCCGAAAAAAACTCAAGTAAACTTATCTGTTCGAAACGTAGGCTGTCTTATGTAAAGACAAATACTCACCAACAACACAACACGATGGCTACAGGATGTTACTAATACAACTATAAAATGTACAAATGGTGGCGAAATGGTGACGTGGTCACTTTGAGTCTTGACAGTCCTAGGCTCAGTCCATCGGGGGTTGTAGGTGCCTACTGACTAATAGGCCAAAAGTAGGAGGGAACACACGTATAGTGTCTCTGTAACTGTTCTCACTCTGCAATAAAAACTACCGTTCAGAATAATTTCATTATCGTTAAGGTCGATCTTTTGAACTGGAGTTATAGCATATGGCGGTATGTCTGAAATATTTACAAGCTTTTTAAGCCTTAATAAATTTCTATAGGGTTAACTGGAATGCATTCTGTGTTCGTTACCTTCTAAGCTTGATTTCAAGCGAAGTGAGCTTACTGTAAACTGAACTGTAGTGTCAAAAATTTATTTTTAAATACTATTACACCATGAATCCATAAGAATTATGCCCTTCTCGTAAACTAAGGTGTTCCTCAGTTAGTTTGAAGACTAGAAAACTTTGTTATTTCCTTTATCCAACACTATTCTGATCTCACTTGTATTGGATTACCATTGATGTGGTGCATGAATTTGGAGTACTTCAATGTTATTTTCTAGTCAAAGAATGAATTTCACCTGATTGTAATCCATTTCTAGGATCTTGCTGACAAATTTTAATTTCGTCGCTTTCTCACCTTTTACCCTCTTTAAAAGACTCATGGCGACTGTGATCTTTGCATTCAGATGATGTGAGGAACCAAAGGCTAAATATCCATTTTGTTGTCTGGCTTCTCTAAAAAGTGGTTGTGCTTAGGTATTCATCTTCTTTCGGCTTCAATGAATGATCAAGAAAGAGTAGTTGACTATTTTCTGTTTCTTTTTCTACAGTGAACTTGATACTTGGGGATGAATGGTTCAACTGATCAAAGAAGAGTTGTGCACATTCAGTAGGAAGAAGAGTGAACAGTCTTATACAAGATGATGATAATATTAGTTTGAATATCGACAAACAGTTGCGTAAATTAGTAAACACACAGTAGCACCAGGTAAACTATTCGAAAGACTGAAGAGTTGATTAGCCAACTCAAATTAACCGTAATATTCAATCCTGTTGTTTTGCATATTAACTAATCACTGGGAGGTAAGGCGGTAACCGACTTTATGTTGTCTAATCTTATGTGTTCATCGAATTCTGTCGATTATTTGGGAATATGGTCACCAGACTAGGAAACATGCAGTCGCGACACGTTGAGAGGGATGTTAGTTGGATAGATAGATGCAATCGGCAGCAAGCCTTGCTCCACCTAGATGGTGAATCACTCAGCCACAGAATCCAGTTAGTACTCAGGACTAGACTACATGAAGTTGGTTACCTCCCCATCTTCACCTCTTAGTGATCAATCAGTGTCTGTAATCCAGTCCTACAGGAGGTCAGTAGCGTCTCGAATAGCTCCGTGGAAACGTCTGTGACTGTAGCACTGAGTGATGTGGGCTTAAATCTCAGGTGGGACAACAATTCCATCAAGGTTGCATATATATCTTACTGACTAGCGTCAAAAAGAACGAAACTGAAGTCCAAGACTTCCTGTCGATTGCCTCCATTGAACCAACATCTCACTCAGTGCGTATCCGCTAATAGTATGTTAAGAATAAAGTTATGGAGGACAATGAGTTTAAAGGTGGCATATCTACTCAACAGCTTAAGTTTCATTCACATGCATAAAGTAAGTAAGGAACGATAAGAGGAGGATAAATACACTTAAAGTTGTAAGTATTCTCTGTATCTTGGTAAGTAAGATATTGTTGTTGTTGCTGTTATCGTCGTCGTCGTTGATTCTGCTTTGAAAGAGTTAATTGATACTGTCAACTTTCCAGTACTTCTATTTTTATTCTTACATTTCGTTGTATTATACTCTACGGTACATCCAAAAAAAATTCACAGGAACACATCAGAAACGAAATAATAACAATGGCACGAGTACGAATAATAACGACAACACAAGTAGAAAGGATCCTCAACAAAGTTGGAATTAGGGTGACAGTCAATCCTATAAACTCACTAAGAGATAAACTTTGTCGGCTGGCTTAAGGATCGGATAGAATCAATTAAGCAAAATAATCTAATCTATCAAATTCCATGTAATGACTATGAGGTCAAGTATATAGGTCAAACTAGCCGATCGGGGTCAGTTAGATTATGAGAACGTATGAATTTAGTCAAATATAGAATGATAGACCCTACTGATCAGCAATCAAGAAAAAAACTCGACTATTACAATGGATGCATTAACACAACGCCACACAACAATGCGGGATAAAACCTCTGTATGTAAGTCCACTATAGTTAGGTAGAGACAGAGACAGATTACTGAAGTTTTGTTTATCGAATCAACACCAGACACACATAATAGAAATCACACAACGCCCATACCAGAGATATGGAAAACGTTACTGGCAATAAAACAAGTAACAAGAGGTAACAGGACCATAAAAATCAGATATGGAAAGTAGTATGATTGTATTTACATGATTATAAGGAATAGTTTATGCTTGTAACATCATCCAGTAAATAATAATGTATCACTGTATGTTATCAATCAAATAAACAAATCTAATATGAAGTTATTAGTTTCATATTGTCCTGGTTAGAGATTTTGCTATCCAGAAGAACTTGTAATAACTGGACGATTTTCTCAACTATCATCTGTACAAGAAATGATAGCGACAGTGACGAACGAGTAGCACAGAAGTTAGATGTAGAGTCCTAAACAGAAGAGGTGATTCACTTAATGAATTATTGCAAACTTTCATCTACTCAGACGGTTGAGATTTGTTTCACATGCCAAATCACTGTCTGCTGAAGTGGACTAAAGTGTTGCATTACTTGATGAAGTCTCTGACAGCTGATGTGAGCCACGTAGGGCAGCTTAGACTTCTCGGTTTGTATCCACATGGTAACCGAAATCGTGGGTCAGAGATTGTAGGTGATATGACTGAGCAATAATATCAGTGGTGTAGAAGTATTTCGCTGTTATTTTCATCGGAATCCCTATACGTTTTTTGTCAAACTCTCCCTTTCTTCTTATGACTTACTACGTCTTCAATTGCACTTTTTATTCCACGTTTCCCTGTTTTCCATCTAACCGCCCTGTATATTGATGTTCTGATGTGAGATGTGGTGACATGAAGCGTTACCGAATGATCCTAAGTCCTATTTTGAAATTGACTGACTGAATGACTGACATTACAAAATATTAGCACTAGAGATTGGTCTGTTGATCTTTTAAGCGAAATATGAACACATCTGTTTGATGCTTTCATAATACTAACTACTAAGTCCATGTTTCCTTGCTGCAATGCTTACTGAAAAGGCTAAATATAAGGTGATCGATATATAATGAACCCATTCATACTGAAAATCCTAGATATTGTGATCCATAAATTATCAAACCAAGCCAATAATTTAATTACTACTTAATCGAATGTGGCAGCATCTCATATTTTCTTGGTTTTATTTTATTTATTTTTCCATACTAAAAAATGTTTGTTGGCAAGAAATACTAGTACGATTGAGTAGTTGTCGAAGTACATGTAAATTTCATTTTGAAACCAATATGCACACTTGGATACCGAAAGTTCATATCCTAAAAGTCTTTAGCAGTGTAGGATTGGGACCACCGAGTTAGTAATTTGGTGCTGTACCGACTGAGATAGGAAGAAGACGCAGGTGCAGATCTGCTCTTCACTTCAGTCATTAAGGTTTTTTCGCGATTGGGATGTAAATGAGTAGTATACAACCGACTCTTCATCATAGGCACACTAATAACTGCCTGATCACATCTTCCCATTTCAACCCAAATTGTGCTTAGTCATAAAGGAATTGAGACATCTAACTGATTACTGATGAGATTATCTGAGATAGCTATAGTTCTTAGAAGGTCAAAACTTGATCAAAGGTTGTCCATTTAACTGGTTCTTCTGCATGGGCACATTCGTCAGTGTTCCGATAACCTGTTGTCAGATGCATGTAATCTTCCGTTGCGATGCAGGGTTGAGTTGCTCCACATACGTTGGCAGATGGGCTCCTGTCTGTACACCTGGATATTGCATGGTAACTCTTTGTCTTGTGTTCTACTTGATAGCTAGCAGGGGAGTCCAACTTCATGTGCGTTTCATCCTATTTGGGACTCATCAGATGGATGATGATATCCCACTGAGAATCGAACCGAATACCCATCGCTTCACATATCAAACCATTATCCACTAGACCACTAGGGCACGAGAGCCGCCTGAAACAACACCTGATAACCACTGCACAAGACGTGAATCTTGTGCTGCAGCAGCTCAGTGGATAACGCTCTGACTTTTGGAACGACGGGTACCGAACTAGAATCTTACTGTGGTCCAGGTTAATCGAGCAGACGAATCCCAAATAGGATGAAATGAGCGTCAAGTTGTATTCCACTGTTATCCACCAAGCAGAATGAAGTCCCAATACCTGCTTTAACTAAAGTGATGGTTGTCTGGATTGATCGACAGGAAAAAATAATCTAAATCACTCTCCCAAATACTATACTGTACAAAAATTATTGATAATGCGAATAATAATGATAAAATATATAATATAGTCATTTTTCTCTAATACTCTTCACTGGTACATAAGATATTTTAATGCTAACATAATATATAATTTATTTACAAAAATTAAATTTAAACATTTGATTTATCCCAGGATATATAGTAGGGTTGTATGATGATAAATTTGTTATATCATATAATTCTTTGTTGAATAAATTCACCTGATTAGAAAGTAATTTTTCCGGAGATTGAACAGAAACTCTATTTGATAACAAGGTTGGAAATGAGGGTGAGGCTACAACCAGACTATTCGGATTATGACTATGATATTGATCAGTATTCTGAATGGTAGTCGTATCTAGTAACGAGAACAGAGATATCGAAGTGGGCTGAATGACATTAGAACAGATATCAGTGCTCACATCATTATTCGGGATCCTTTTTACAGAGACAGGACTATGATCATTGAATTGTTTATTTTCTGTCAAGAGAATATGAGATGGTATTGGAGTAAATGATGACATGGGATAGGATTGTAACACTGGTAGATTTGATGACAAAGATGCAAAAACCTGATGAAGTGAAGAAGAACAAGGTGTGGATAATGGTGCTGGTGACAATGAAGAATTCAGTGATGATGAAGAAGACATTAATGAAGAGGCTATCGTTGCTATAAGGTTAACCGGAGTAAGGTTATTCACAGGATTGTTTAACTGTATAGGTTCATTTTGACACATTGAAAACTTATTAGCCATCATGTCTAGCTTCTCTTGCAATTCCTTAACACTTTTAGTAAGTAGTAGAATATAATTTTTAGCTAATAGTAAAGTTGCAATCTTCGATAATTTTCTCACAGATGGATTTTGTGCATATGGTAGTACTGATCTATAAACAAAAATGTGAAATATTTTACAATAATCGTTTGACTACTTGTAAGTAGTTAAATACAACACAAATATTTCAAGGTGGAAGGATTATTACAGCTTGATTCGCGAAAAATTATCTTTAGTATGCAACAGGAAATACATATACATATACATATCATTATCAATTTAAAACAGAGGCTAAATAAAGGTAGTAAAATCAATATATACGAGACCACAGATCTTAAAGTATGTTTGATAAACTTGTACTACAGATCTGAAATTGTTATTCTAGTGAAAAAGACGGCACTGAATAATCGATTGCGTCTTAGGTCATCTATCATGATGTAAGTAAATAAAAAAGTTGCTATCCAGTTTGTCCAGAGTTAATTTCTTTGAAATTGGGCATAATAGAGATGCATATATCTGTCATATGATAAGCGTGAAATGCTAACTGAAATCTGATTGGACTAGGATAGACAACTAGTTCATGAAGTCATTGACCGGCAGTCTGAGTCACGTCAGATTTTTGGTTGGGGTCCAATAGACAAGGAAAACTAACGACTAGAGATTTTAGGGTATATGACTTGAGAGTGGTTGTAATAACATCAATGCACTGCCGTTTCATCTCCATCAAAATCTTAGAAGACTCATTATTTATTGCTATTATCGTGTGAGTTCATCTCTGCTTGTCCGAAACCATTCACATCGTTACGTTGAGTCTTTTGTCTCCCTCCTTTGGCAATTCCGTTGTGATTACTGATACAAACCTGACAACTTCAGCTCGTACATAGTTGTCCCATACATAAACAAATGCTAAAATGGACAAAATTGAAGCCTGAGATTCTAGTTAACCTCCACTAGAAGATTTATTTATACTAGGTGATGACTGAAGGTGAGATGAGAATTTGGACCTCGGCCGTATTCGAACCAACGACCACCGGGTTTCCGGGCTCGCAGCTCTACTAACTGAGCTACGATGTCCAACTGCCGACCTGAAACTTTATTGCCACTAAAATTATGTAATTGAAATTTCAAGGTGGACTAAGTAATTTGGCGATTGATCATTCACAATTTGTGAAGTCAAACTGTCAGATTCAGTTGATCCCAACAGTTTGACTCTATGAGCTGAATTTTTCCGTGCATCTGCAAGATAAGCTCCATCACAAACGACTGAAATGCCTTCCTGATGTTTATTTAACTCTGGTGTGATCAGCAAAATCTGCAGATCAGCATTAGTGCTTTCTAACTACAAATACACAAACACATATAGAACCTAAGTGACTCCCGAAGCAAATCGATGGCGTAAAATTTTGTTTGTCTTCCAAACTTTGTCTACATTGCAGCTCATCACCACTGGTTTAAAGTATCCCTTCAACTGATTTGTCAGTATAGGGACAAACTGTTACGCAATGGCTTTATTATTATCACCAATAATTGTTACTACTGTCATCATGAGATTATGTTAGTTAGAGTGGAATAGCAAACCACAGTGTACTTCATAACGTTAACCGTTTTAATCTGACACACATCAGTATTTTACAACTACAGCACCATCTAACATTCAACGTGTATTCGTTTAGCATATGTTTTCACTGTCAGTTAGGCGGAACCTTCTCCCTCTCTTCCTTTTTGTAAAAACGGTGTGAAGCATATCTAGGCATGCTGGGGGCCTACTTGGACTTTGGGTTACCAATGAAATTTTCCACTAGACAACTTGTATGGAATTCTTTCCTTTCAGTTTGCTTTAATCTTTCAAATATGTCCTCCGAATGCATCACATACTCCTGTGGACTTTTAAAATGTTCTGAAATGACCGTTTTTTTAAGTGACAAAAAATGAAGGGGAAGTGCCATATTTGACGAAAACAGACTTTCGAATGCACAAAAATACAATATATTTCTACTGTTTGAATACCTATCTCGAATAGTACCTTTTCTACTGGGTAATTGATTCATCACCACCAACACTACCGACACGGTGTTATCTGCTAAACCATTGAGTCACGATAGCCACTTCTTGTCTGGTTGGTATACTTGTAGTCATATCGCCTGTATTATCGAGTCATTGAGTGGAGTGGAGCAAACCGACCGATGTGTGTCTATTGGGATAAGGACTGGTGTGCGGACGCCTCAATATTGCCTGTCTGCTAATTTTATATTGATGATGGCTAGTGGCTATCAGTGGAATACAGCTTGATGTGCGTTTTCACCCATTCTGGTTTCGTCAGCTAGATGTACCTGTATCCTAACGAGCGATGTTGTTCTTACTAGGACTAGAACTCGGAACCGATCACTTCAAACCCGCTGGGTGTTATCCACTAGACCAGCGAGTCACTAAAGCCAATTCTTGTGTAAAAGACACAGTTTTAATGTTGTTGCTTGTGTTAAGTGGCTATCGTGACTCAGTGATCTAGTGGGTAACCCTCTGGAATTTAAAGCGATCAGTTTTGAATTTCAGTCCTAGTGGGAACAACATTGCCCATTAGGATCCAGGTACATCCAGCTGACGAATCCCAAGTAGGACGAAACGCGAGTCAAACTACTAGCCACAACCAAGTAAATCGTACTATTATTATTATTATTATTATTATCATTAACACCTCACTCAAGAGAATCACTTGTTGTTAGGATAATCTGTTTGAAACTGTTGTCACCAATGAAGTGAATAGGAGTATCCCGAGTGTATGTGTGTGAGTTGCTAATCGTATAGTGGTTAATTTTATAAGTTCTTGTGTTGTTATAACAGGTCAAAGAAAGGAAGCTGTAAAATCCAGTCAAGTTACATTTTAACCAGCTGATGTATTTACTTTTAAAAGATCATCTACACAGAAGTCATTTCGTAGCATCCGTCTGTAACCATTTGTAGAAGCCTTTGAAAGAGCTGTAAACTTAAGAGAGACTGCTGGCTTAAACAGTAACTTTAAAGGTCACCATAACAACTACTGTTTTTACCAATCTGGTATCTCTATTTTACCGAGTGACTCTGAAGCCCAATCGGATGACTTAATAGGTGAAATAACCAATCAGGCTTCGATATTCCATCTTGTGGAGGAAATTTTGCATAAAATAAAGAAACATAATTTTTCATTTCAGCAGTTGTTAAGGTGACCTATGAAGTCACTCAGACGACCCTCATAATTGTTGAGGTAACCAATTAGGGTTCGATAATTTATCCATAAACTACCTTTCCAGTCGAACCTGATTGGCCATTTCAGTTGTTGCTAAGATGGCTTTTAGCATCACTTGTTAAATTCACTTAATGACTCAAAAACCCGGAATGCGTAGGCGCGTGAGACTGTAATCGGATAATCAGGCGTATAGAAAAGCAAAAACACGTAACAGTGATGAAGTAATCTGTATATTTTGAGTAATTTTGAAGGCCATCCAAACATTTGATGAAGTTATCAATTAGCTATCTTTACTTTGACCAGAAGGTTAACATTTTGCAAGATCCAGAAACCGAATTTATTTTGCAGTTTATAATGATTTATTTATTTCAACGTAATATTCATCATGCCCTGAAATAGGTTGGAGAAACACTGAAAACTGGGGAGCATTGAAAAGCAGCTTCATCCTAGTATGTGACTCCTTAGCAGAAAGTGAATTGACAGAAGTCAGAAACTGTAAATCCATTGAACTCCACCCCATTGGCTGAGTAGCTAACGTGCTACCTGAGAGGCTTGAAGATCTTCAGTTCGCATCCTGATGGGATCGTAGCTGGATACTTCTGATAAGTCCTATACTAGGTGGAAAATACTGTCCAATGCCCCCAGGTTTTCAGTGATTCTCCATATATTATCACTGGATGATGAAAGCTACTTTCAACTCAATGAATCCTTAATAATCAACCAATGAATATACTAAATGTAAGGCATAGAGTATCTTACTTCTGTTCTAGATGAAAGTTAATCTTAAAATGATTTGTGATCTAATGGAGGAAAGTTAGCGTAACATAGAATAAGTCAATATCATAATTACTTACCTTAGTCCATCCATTGCAACATTTAAATCTTGCATTCTACGTCGTTCACGTCGATTAATACTTAAACGTAATTCTTGCAATTCTTCATCTGTAATTGGTGGTAATTCTTCACTATCATTTTCATATTTTCGACAGTCATAATTCAAGGGAATATTATCATCATTATTTGAATTTTCACTTGAGATATCTGAATTATTAATAATATTTGAGGCATTATTTCCTTGTCTAGAATTACAGAACACTTTGCTTTTACGCTTTCGTTTATTGATTAATTTAGCTAATAATCTTGCTTTAGGTTTGGTCATTACATCTCCATTCGAAGTGATGTTGTTCAGAGGAATTGAAGTATTATAATTGTTGCTCTGGTTATGAGAAAGTATACTCAAACTTGTTGATTGTACTGATAAATTTCCTGAATGATTCATAATATTTGCACTGTAATTCATTATTGTGTTACACAGAAATTGATATTAGATTGGTTTTGTAAACTACAGCTGATCAACACGAAATACATATGATAATTTCTACTATTTTATATGTAAAACTGTAAGCATTCTGATTGGTTCTTATTTACACTGACCTCAGATGTCCATAAACAGTTTGATTGGTTCCTGAGATTATGTATCAGTTAATTATTAACCAATCAAAATTAGCAGACAATTAGCGGACTCTGTTAGTAGGTAAACTAGAAATTGAGTCAACAGCATTTAACATTTGAACGCTTTGAGAAAATTCGCTTCTGTCGTAGACATTTATAATTCTTTCCTATTCTATAAATGAAATAAGTAGTATAAATTGTCATCTTTACATACACTAGTCTGTTAAGAGGTGATATTATAGTAGGTTGGCAAGCTAGCAGGTGGGTAACCATCTAAAATTCCCTGCAATTTGAGTGTCACTGGGTACACTGGTTACTCGTATGCAGTTATCTACCACTGATGAGCCCAAATAGACTGAATTCTACTTACGGTTGTCATCTACCAACTATCTCAAAAAGGAAAGTAACCTTATAGTCGTATGATTTAATTATCTCTTAACATAAATGAACATATTAACTTCTGTAGTAAGTAGATTTGACCACAGAATGACAAAAACTAGAAATGACTGAAAATCAGGAAGAGCTCAGCATTTAAACATTGAAGCATTCAATTAAATCCGTAATCATTGGTGGATATTCATCAACAAACGGATTA